GGATGATATGCAAGATAATTTAATGTGCAGTGGCTCGCGAACGACGAGAATGATGCGCAAGCGTGGTAAGTCCACAACTTAGTGTGAGGCTACGAAAAACAAGGACAATTAAACGAAACACATGCATGCAGCGATTGAGGAGGAGTGCAGCATGAGCTTGACGCAGGCTGAGCAATCGTGCGCAAGTCATCCGCCCACCCAAGCCATGTTGCAGGTCAAGAAACCGAACAGATTTCGAAAAGTAATTGTGGACCAAGGACGGTAATAAGTCGATCGCTATACGTGGACTGCGAGGAGCACGCAAGTGGCTGGTGTAACTGAATGAAATCATATGAAAAGTACTATCTATAATTTCACAACAGTGCCGTTGAAAGTTATATGGTGAAAAAAATATTAAAGTAAAATCCTAAACTAAGTTTATAGATTTTTATTTAAAGTGTTGTAATAGAAAATTAGGTATGGTACTTCTGTACTTTGTGTACAGAAGTACCATACCTAATGTACTTTGTGTACAGAAGTACCATACCTAATTTTCTATTACAACACTTTAAATAAAAATCTACTATAAACTTAGTTTAGGATTTTACTTTAATATTTTTTACGCAGAGAACAGTTGTATATAGTACTATATAGTATATATATGGTACAACATGTTAGACAACTTGTGTACCATGTTGTACACATACCTTGCACTTAGAAATACCAAAGGATCAGCAGCGTGCGTGCAAAAACAGTATCATACAATTGCACAAAATTCAAGCTTTACTGTTGTGTTGATGTAAATATTCAAAAGTTCGACAAATAAAGATGATGGCCATGATACACATATACTATACAAACAAATGCCACGTACCCTGGAATTGGTACCGATTTTGTTAGTAAGCGGTACTAGCAACTACCATGGCGCAAGTACTAAAGGAAAATCTGAACATGTAGAGCTATACATGATGCGGGACGGCAACATGATGGTGGCGCATTTAGAATTTACCCTGGCAGACGGAAAGTTAGTGGGTAGTCAAAAGTCAATTTTTAATGTCTATTCCTGCTTTAAGTATAGTATAAAGAGCTGCTTACCTCGATGCTTTCCTCCTTATTCTTTGGTTTCCTGCCGTTGGGTCAAAACGCTCAGATGAGGAGCGTGGGGGTAGTGCTGACACTTTCTGGCACTTCGTACTCGTAGTTACTCAGCAGAATATAAGCTTCATTCATCTAAACGGGAGAAAGCCCAAATTGCATACCGAGGTCGAATGAATACTACCTGTTCTTTTTTAGTCGTTTGAGCTTTATTCGGACCCACACTATCACTATGGAAACTTCGATTGTGTGGCCACTTAAGCACCGACGTTTACCGCCGTCACCATCATCATAGCGTTGGATGGCAATAAAGCTGCATCATGCGCCGATCAGACTTGGGGGGACAGCCTTTGAGGTGAACTGCGCTTGATTTCAAGTATATTGTGGCATAAGTGTGCAATCTCGCTGGTAGAGAGTGGCATACAAAAAAATAATTCATTCATAACATGGAGTTATTTGATATGAAGTATATAGCAAAAGTCAGAATTGCTATGAGCCATTTGCAATATATGACAGGTCATGCTTCACTGACTTCGGCGCTGTAGCTATCAGATCTATCACGGTACTTGATTGCAATCTAACCATTTTTCTTTGCAAAATTTACGTTAGAGGTAAAGCATGATGCTGGTCGGCTAAATGTGGCAGCAAATTTGCTTTTGCATCGACGGATTGTGTATTGTCGCGTGTCGTCACTGATTGAGGAGGTGATATGTGTTGCGTTGCTGAACGCTTTAAAACCCATAGAGTATGAGTGCTTTAAGTCTTGCTCAATCGAAGCGCGCGCTTGACGACAGTATTTTTCCAACGCTTGCTGTACGTCCGAAATGACCTAATTGACAATCAGCGTGTAGTGCTGTCTCATCCTGCTTACAGTTACATGAAGATCAAAGCACGGGATTTCCTTTTTGGTCGCTATGTCAAATTGTATTGGTGATCCAACACGTAAAATGGGTTGGCACTATGAGCGCATATGCGTCACGTGTCAACATATCAAACCTTCGCCGTATTCAGCGGCACTTTTTGCTGGTCTGCTGACTCCGACAGAGTATTGGCAACCGTTAGGATTGTTCTTCTTTTTGACACATCAAAAGACGATTGATTATAGCAAGATGGATCATTTCACTGCTGTGTGAGCTATGTATAATCGATGAGTATACAACCAAGCTGTGCCGCGACAAAGTAATTCACCAACATGATTGCCGATTGTTATCGTATTTGATGGAAACCCGCGCTTTGCAGAAAAATTCTGATGAACAGTCTCCATGGTGCTCGGCGTCAAATCGAATATATCAGCATTAGTCATTTATTGCCAGTAAGTCAGGCTGAACGCAGGTGTCGCGTTGTGAGAAATGCCCACTGAAGTGATTGTGCAGAGAGACCACCGTGTCTGAATGCGTTGCTCTCACGTATTGAGTTTGCTTTGCATATCACAGTACACACCTCTACATGCTTGAACCATTCTTCAAACACGAGTAGATTGACCATTACGCTCCTTTGATCCCGTCACGATTAATTTGGCCTACTGAAATAATCTTGCGACACGTCATAGCAATATTAATGATTTTCAGCAGAGCGTCATGCGCAGGGTGCGCGATGCTTCGACTAAGAGTTGGGATGTGCAAAGGCAACACGCCGATGCCAAAGGTAGGCAAAACACAAACAAATGTTATAGAGGTCTCATTGAACACAGTACCTACCCATACATGTAATGTCTGTGTTTGAAAACGATGAATTTGCAATTGCTACATTAGATCAAAGTAAAAAGATTTATACTCTTAACATCCCAAAGATATAGCAGACTTATTCTATATTGTACACAGGTTCCGTGATAGCATACCATCATGCTTGTACTAGCTAGACAAATATGTGTAGCTCTGCTGCAAACAGACCAGTGTCATCACCACCCGCAGATGTGCTGCTCATTGTACCAAATCGGCGACGAATTACAGAGCCGCTGATGGTACTTCAAACCATGCAGCGCAATGCGCAACTCAGATATGGAATTAAACCTCGGACTCATTTTCGTTCATAGCGCACACCAAGACTCCCACCGAGAGTCGACGTACCAACATAGCCGATAAATCTTGTTAGAGCAAGCCGCGGTTAGGATGTTCTTCGCCGGCACTTCTTGATGTGCAAAGAACGACCCGCTTTCACCTGAAATGTCTGTTGAGCCGGTGAATACAACAAGAATCCCTTTATCTGATGAAGTGTAAGGGATGCTATGGATTTTATGGGACTTTGAATCCCTACCTCGGCAGATATTTTGGTGCCGTGACCGGCGTGTCTCGGACATGACTTTACTTAAATTAAAGAACCGTTAATGCGCACTTCCTACTCCGACCTTGCAATGATGATAAAACTAAGATTCATGGCTCGTGATGTCACAGCTGCTTCATGGACATTTTTGGGGCTGTAAGCAGCTGGATTTAGATGCGATAGGTATTCCACCCGATCTTTCTGTCGTGCTTCTGGCTTACAGAGGCAAGCATGAGATGATACTCCGGCAGACGACCGTTTTGCTGAAACTGTCTTGCAAAGACTTAAGATATGTCAACAAGTGTGTTTTACATATCCAATTTAGTAGTCCCCCAGCTTCAAGTAATCAAGATACATTGTGATGTTATTATACGTGCTCCCCAGCCACTGCTATTATAGTCGCAGGCTTTTTTCCCTTAGGATTGATGCTGGGTAAAAATCTCTTGTTTTGCTCTTGTCTGAATGAAATGTCCGCATGTACAAACGTGCAAGGGCTCCCACCAGCGCAGTGAGCACGTCAGACGGATCAAAACTTTGATTTCAGCGTAATGATTCAGGCATTAGTTGGCGTGATAATTTAGACAAGTTCGGTGGAAGCTTTTGCTCGCAGTAGAGCTAGCTGGGCATCTTGGGTCAGGTCCAGCTGGTTGATGACGGGCTGATCATCGACATGAATTTCACGGTGCGCTATCACAGCACTGTATATTTTTGGAACTAAGATCGGAATAAAGACGTAAACAGTAGGGGGCTGAGCTCAGTAAGCGTCCATTCTAAGGTGCGAACAAGTCGTGTGCCGTCGGGTGAAAGCGTTGGTGTTTGGTGAGGACTTGGAGAGGCTTACTACCGCTCTCGATGGTGAATTAATTTGACATTCTCATCGAAAAACTCATTCAGCACAAAAAATTCCAAGACCGCGCCTGTCCATGAGCTTGTTGATCCATTTGATATGGTGCACGGGTGGTGAATTTTGATACAATTATGATAGGAAGATCAACCACGATAAAAACCAGCACTGTGGATTTGGCCCCAATTGCTTCCTCTTGAAGCCGTCATGCTTTTGCCATGTCTGAAAGGCAGTACAAATGTAAGCGCAATTGTGGTCGAAATCTGAGTGAGGGGGTGGCAGGGTAAGAACTTGACATATCTCGTACAATTATGATAGGTACAATACGGTACCTTTCGTTGATGTGTAAATATCAAAAGTATTAAAGTGTCAGTATAATGATGATTATGGAAATTAAAAAGGAGGGGTCCGTTGGCACTCGTGCTACCAGTTGGGCGTCAGAATCTAAAGACAGCTACATTAGTAAGAGTCAATGAAACGTATATTTATTTAGTATATTTAGTGTTTGTCCAAATAGTATTTAATCTAATATATGTAGTGTTAAAACAGCAGAGCTTACTATACACTCAGGTGTGGTAAAAGCTTTATTACGCTCCTCGGGGATGCAGAAGAATCAACATTGTCGGTTTGCTAAGACGGACGTCAAAGCTGCCTTTGTGCATTTATCATCGTGAAGTCGTAATCTGCATCTAAGTAAAGTCCGGAAGCTTCGTTTCTGGCTGTCTGATGCACCAGCTAAGTTCATTCGTCATATGAAGCAGCTTCTTTGGTTCATTCGTGGCTATCGACAAAGCTAGATTGGTGATATATTCGTTCATAGTCGTGTAGAGCGCAGGGAGTCCACAATGAACGGTTGCAAGATCTGATGTAAATATTTTTGACGACAACACTTTCTGAATGTGCTGCTTCATGGAAAGGACTGGACTTCAAGCAGATACCGTGAGCAGGAAGGCCATCTAGCTAGCGTACTTTTATGGCAAATGGAATTTGGGCAGTAGAAATCCCAGACCAATTACCTGAGCAAGTATACTAAAATTTATGCCGCATTAGACAGTCTTATATTATAAGAATATCGATCAGAATTGAAAAGCGGCAGAACTGGCGGCCGTTGAGGCTACGACAAAAAGTATCACGTGTGCCTGATCAAACTCAGCTTTTCACACCGTCTCTGACGCTTCGGTTTTTGCCATAGGTTGTGCTGGGCTTCAAGCCCATTGATATTTGCTGGTAAGATCTTGCCAGCTTCCGATGCATCTGCTGGAGCTACCCACTTTCGGGATTATATATAGATCATGCGCTTTTTTGCACAGCGATACATCTCTTGCAGAGAATGTCAAAATAATATTTCGTTTTTGCCTAACTTGCCACCAGGGTGAATTGTAAACTTGGGAGGCTGAAAAAGTGACGGGTGCAACTTTGTTTTAACAGATTTTTTGTATATCATGAAAGCAAGGTTGTACGTCAGTGAGTCAATGGTGTGCGTGTCAGGTGCGATATGTAGTGCACTGCTGAAATGATCTGGGTAGCAAGCAGCTCTCCAGCTGAAATATCAATTAATTTAAACTTTTATTTGCACCCTCGACATGCTTTCCTTCAAAGGCTCCCTGTATTGCAACACATGTCTACTCAACCCCAATGTGTGGCGCTACGTCATGACACGGACGTCAGCTCTAGAGCTTCGTATGATCCCCGTGATTCCATTCAGGTAGGTTAAAGAGGTGCAGCTATAGCTATGTAGAGGTGGTATAAATGTGCAAGCGCACATGTGCAATACGAGTTTCCAGATAGATCCCTCGACGCAATTGTTGGCCATCATACTGGGAAAGTGTTGTTATTTTTTTTGAATTGACCTTATTTTTGTGCTGCCAAAAGTCCATTCGGAAACTAACAGTAACGGGGTGTTTGTGAGCCATCTTATCAAGGTGATTTGCTTCAACATTATCAGCAAGATCATCACCGATGAGACTATAGCTAAGATGATTCTCGACCACAAGTTTCGCCATCATGTCTTACCGGAGGCCGAAGCTCAAGATTCATGCTTTACAATTACGTCCATCACATTTCTGAAATGGGGCTGAACATATCCAAAGTGGGCCACCTACTGTTAAGGTGGGATGTTCCGACAGATTGATTTTGACTATAGAAATGGAATATTCGCCTCTACAGGCTTAGCATCAATTGTTCAAAAAGTCCGGTCGATAACATCCACGGTACCTCTAAATAGTGGCAACAGCCTTGAGGCCGGAGAATTTGCTGTCTACGTGAGTAATTTGCTAACACCGATTCGGCTGCAGATTGTAGCAATTGATTATTATCGATGGGATTTGGCATCATGCGATGGTGCGTGACGCTGTCGCTATAGTCAATATGTACAACAGCGTCATACCAATGTCAGAAGCAGATAAATGTTTCCAATGACATTTTCATATCTTACAGTAATTTTCTACCTACATTTGCAGTGTTTTCATTTTATAAGACTAAGTTACGCTCTTGCTACATTAGCCCCTCATGGTTGTTGCCAAAAAGGAGTTCAGAATCACTTTCGATATCCCAGTAGAGCTTGTATCATTTCATGTGCCCGTCCTTAGCCTTCTATAGCCACACCAAGGCTTTGCTTTCATGATCTAAATCGATCCAAACGTTGAGCTGTATATGAAGTAGTCAAACATATTATTTGAAGCTGAACTACTTTTTAATCTGAGTCTTGATTCTGTTGCTATCCGTTTAAGATTTTAAAATCCATTCAATTCGATTGTGCAGCTCATCTCGCGCATCGGAGAGCTGACCCAGATTAGAGTCTTTCCGCTGACTTTTTAGGGAGTTGACTTATTGCCACGACTGATAGATCCCACGATTATAATTCGTCCTTTGCCGGCTATGTTTGATGGGCAGGTATAGGGCCCAGATTTGTGTCAATCAAATTGTGTGTCGCCGTGATCAAGTAACACGAGCTATAGCAAAGAAAATGCGATTTTATCGCTTCAACAACCCATCGAATTTTGAGATTATACTTTAATAACAAACCCTGTCACCGTTGATGCTTACACCTCGGCACATTCTTGCATTTATCAACATGAGAAGAGACGAGGTCGCACAACCCAATGAAATTCTCGTGAGCGAATGTGGATCGGGGCTACTTCGAGTAAGAGTCAGATCTGTAAGCGTAAGAGATTGCCCATAGGAATGAGCTGGGATTGGTGCAGCAGCAACTGGAAATAGCGGACATAACATTTTTCGACGTCGCGCTTCTAATTTGCAAAGAAATGCATCAATTGATGCTCGATTTAGACGTTTCTTTTAAAAGCTGTAAGTGATATAGGCGACGAGCCTTTGCTACTTAATGCACAATTTAGTTGTGCACGCTTTGGCAGTTTCACCAGAAATAGCACAGTCGATTCAAACAATCCTAACGAAGGGACGAAATCGTGCGCTGCTATTCCAGCTGAGCGATATTAAAATTACCAACCGGTGGGGTCCGAAAACGCTCTCGGAATGACACGAGCGCACATCATGATATCAACGAAGCGGATGGACTACCATAAAAGCGTCAGGGTTTCGCCGGTCCACGGCTGCCTACTCTCTATGGATTATGCCAATTTGCATATGATCAAGCCTGAAGCGACGTCATTATAAGTCACAGCACAACTTGATGTGACAGTAGACAAGCTAGGCGTGCCAAGTCAAATTTTGCATACTGGCAAGAAATTATATACTTGCCGTTAGATCTGCAGCGGAATATCGTGAAACCCCCTCCGTGTAGCGAACAAGAAATTCGCGACTCTTGCACAAAAGATGAAGTGTAACGGGGCTTCACGTGCCCTAGTATGAAGGCTGTGGGTCACCCAAGATGTTGCGATCACACAGTGGTGTGGGTTACAAAAGATAGTTTGGCCATACAATTGTGTGGCTTCACTTAAAAACAAGTCAGTACGTGGCTGGACTGCCATTAGCAGTAGTTATACATTTCATTAGGTTTTGCTATATAAATTAAAACCTATAGATTTGGAAATAGGCGGCTTTGACGCAAATAAATCCGAGAAATACAGCTTTTATTTTAAGCGTAAGGGTTAATTAGCCTTGGGTTAAGATTAAAATTTTTCTTGGAATAAGTGAATTGCGATCCGATGCACTAGTACTGGTTTAAGAATAAAACGAAGGTCACCGACCATAACCAAGCTTATTCATAGCAATAGATCTAAGGAGCTTCCGCTGCTTTGGTAGCACTCTTAGGCAATCTACACCTGAGTGGTAATGACTGACCATCTGTGAGAATGAAGCAGCTCTCCTATTTGCCCCAGGGCATGATGTTTCTGCTTGGCTGTGGGGGCATGCAACACCTCGCTTCGCAAGGACCTGAAGCGATCGGCGCGCGCCTAGAGGCGTTTTCAAGCTATGAAAATGCTCTTTTATAGTATCTAGCAGATGATGACGGTGTCGACAGCGACCATGGCGCCGCCGTCGGGGACAGTTGACTCTCCCCAACCCAAGCCGCTCAAGGTGAGTGTTAAGACCTTCGAGAACAAGGATAAAAATCTTCTATTCTTGGTGAGAGAAGTTGAGATGGCCACGGTGTCCGCCATTTACCGGACCGACCAACAGCGCGTGACGCTAGCTATATCCAAGCTCGGGGGTTGAGCGTGAGAATGCGCACTGATGTGTGGCACTTCGGATGAAGCAGCATTTCCCTCCTGGACAGAACTAAGACTGTAGCTTTCACGAATGTTCTCGCCACTTAACCAGGCGTACTGCGTGCGATAGCGTTTGCTTGCCACCGGACAGGGCAAGAAGAAATTGGTGGACTTTATCCGGGAGTTGTGTACTCTCATTGCCGGTATAGCAGCCGATCCTCTTCCCGAGGCGGTCACAGTGACCGTCTTTATGGAAGGCCTTCGCACTGGTGTGGTCAGAATGGAAGTTTTCCGTTTACACCCGACTTCTTTTAAATAAGCAGTGAGTGTGGCAATGAATGACGAATTTAATTTTAAGTTTAAGTCGACACGACTTGTTTGAAATGCTCACTCTATATGCTCGTCGAGCGGACCGGAGCCGATGGATCTCAGCGTTGCAGAGGACAAGGAGGTGTGGATCCGAGCTGTCGAGCAGCGTTCGAACACCCGATGATGTTTTGTCTGTGGAGACACCCATCACCTTCGGATTGGTTGTCCCCTGCGCAAGGCGAGTTAAGGTTCATCAAACCGAAGTCCCGCTTTTTATTTGTCTTCTGGTTTGTTGCGAGCAACCGTTAGCACCCAGTTGGCGCGAGGCAGCCTGCTGGGACAGAACTGAGTTTTGTTGAGCCTCAAGGAGGTAGAGGTTAGCAGGGCCCAGCCCCGTAGAGCTCCGTGCTCTTGAACACGAAATGTGTATGCATGCCGGGCTTGCTGGTCATGGAAGCGACCGTGAAGGGTTTTGAGAAGCCATGGAAGATTCGGATTGAGTCCGGTCGGTCTGGCAATTATGCTCGACGCTCCACGATCGAAGGAAGCCAGCTGTATGCTGAGGCGCTGGAAGCGCGGTTGAGTGACACAGTCACGGATTGCTTAGCGACGGGAACTTGTGGCACTAGCCGAGGGTTCCTGTGGAACTCGGTGCCAAGCTTCTTGACTTCGATATCGTGGGACGCTGCTTAGGCTTAGACTTGGATGCAAGGTATGACCGTATTCTTAGTATAACATGGTTGGAACACCATGATCCATTGGTTTGATTGGGGTCGAAGACCTTGGTCGCTACGCGCACATCTCCTGGTGGAGCTTTGATGAGTCATGAACCCTCCTCTGCTAGGAAACAGAAGCACTATTGACGCAGACACTGGGTCGGGACGGTCAATTTGCTGAATATCGGAGTATTTAAGCTGTAGAACACCGAAGGGATATCGGACAAGAGTCCCGAGCATCGCTCGCGGGCTGTAGTGGCACGTAACCCACTATGCAATGCTCAAGTATCAAAGCAATTGCTGTATGCCAAAAGTGGCGTGGTCGGACGAGGTCCGAGCGCATCGAAAGCAAGGCGCCAGTGATGCACATGGAGTGGCACGTAATCTACGGGGCACTGCTCAAGTGTCAAAGCGCCACGAGTGGCATGGTCGGGCGAGGCCCGAAGCACTCGGGCATGCCCTTCAGATGTGCGTGTAGTGATACGTTATCCACTGGGCGAAGACTGCGAAAATAGCAGCTCTTCGACGGATGTTGTTGATAATATAAAGGTTCCGATGGAGCAGGAAGCGGGGACACTGAACGACACTGAGTGCGTATTCTCACAAGGCTTTTCGCGCGGTAAATGTTCTTCTTGAGCTGGACGAGATGTATTTTTAAAAGGTTCTGCGGTGCCTTGAAGGCAGGAGATTCAGACGTGGTAGTCATTATATGACCAAACAAGGAGATCAACTCGTCGACGCTACTGGATGAACCTGTCCTGATAAAGACCAAGAGGCTGCTAAGCGCACGAGGTGGATCTTTGATCCTAAGAAACCCCTCGGATCCGTACTTTCCTTTGGTAAAAGAAATTTTAGGACGTCGTCTCCAAATACCCGCCGTCGGTCCTACCTCCGGATTGAGGTTGATTGACCTGGTTTCGAGAAGCAAACACTGCGTAAATCGCCAATAGCCTCTGCCCAAGCAGCAGTGCGACGTCATTGACGCCTTCTTCCGTGCGAAGCACGACGCAGGAGAGGTGCGTGAGAGCGAGTCTCCCCATTCGACACCTACGTTTTGCATCCGGAAACCGAATGGCAAGTGCCGTATAGTTTATGCTTACAATGAGCCAAACGCTGCCACCATTCCAGCATAAACGCCAATTTCTAGGAAGAATGCTCTCCAGAATAATATGGCTGAGTGTACAAAGTACAGTGCACTCGACCTGGTCGATGGGTATCACCGATTGCTCAAGTGAGCGAGTGATGTTCCGCTGACAGCGGTGTGTACTCCGAGCGGCATGCTCTGGGAGTGGCTGGTGATGTCCCAAGGGCTTTTAAATGCACTAGCAACATTTAATTGTCTTGTGATGC